AAAAGGAGACCAACACAAGAAGGGAACTAATAAAAACCTTAGAACTCAAATATATCCAGAAAATACAACACAATAGGAATTAAACAAATAAAACTAGAAAACATGGAGCAAAGTAAAACTAAACAGAACAAAGACCGTGAAATTTTCTTCCGACTCCTTCCATTTTCACACAAGTATCTGTATTTTCTATTCCTTACATTTTTAAAACAAACGTTACTCGTTACTCTTGGCTTCGGTTTAATGTTTATAAATAACGCAAACACTCATGGTTTAGCTATTCGTCAAATTTGTGCTGACGCGAAAGGAAATCATCAGAAGCAAGCAGGTGTTCTTCAAACTACAAACGTGGATTGTCTATGCCATGCTACAATGTCGGATTCAGAAAAAGATGTTGAAATGTCTGAAAGGTCATTTACCTTTGTGACAGGTTACCTTTGTGACAATCAAAAAATATAGACATTTTGATGGCAAATATGAAACATCAATGAAAAAAAAAGAAACAGCCACTTGCCCTAACATATAAAAAAAAAAAACAAAGACCCAGACCTAGTTATACAAAAACAGTGACTTGCTGTATAAAGGGTTAACAAACGAGGCAGTTTTACCACTAATTGCAGTGGAGAAGCTGTTTCTCTTCTGATTGACTTGGTGACCGTATAAAATACATTTTAAATGGAAACTTACGGGACATTTTAAATAGAAATTTGTTGGTTTCTGTCAGGACTTAAAATAAGGGGTAGCGGTGCGGGGGTAGAGCATGTGACCCATATTTGTAGGCCTGAAATAAAAAGTGAAAATGGGTCTTTCAGCTGAATAATAATCCATAAATACTGGCTGAATGGACACAGAAAATGAAAAACCAACTTCCTTCGCCGACAGATCCTTAGTCATATAATTTCCTGGATCTAATGCCCAAAAAAAAACCAATTGGGTAACCTTAAGAGTAGAAAGAGAAAGGCAGACGATCAAGAGAGAAAGACACGTTTATCTTTTTACACCAAAGGAGACTTGGTGCCAGGCTCGGACTGGTAGTCTGTGATAGCGGGCATTTTCCCGGTGGGCCGGTCCCAGTTTCAGTGTGCGAGGGCAGGCCCCAACAATTACTAACCAGCCGAGCTCCTACCTGTGACAGTAAATAACTGCAGGAGCTCAAGAAGCAATACAATGTTAACTACCTAAATGATGCATGCAGTATATATACTGTAGCCCTTCCTTGTCATGCACATCCTTGTGATGGTTGCTATATGGTGTAATTTTCTATTGCTTCAAACTGTAAAATCCTTGCAACAAACTAAATTATATTAAAACTAAAATGCTTTCCTTACACCAAACTACTATGGTCCTCTTATGTTTGGCGAATTCATGTTGGAATATTTTGCAAAAATATGTGCATGACGGGGTTTTGCATCTAAAGACTAACGTTTCCCGTCTTACGTGCATTGTTTGCCAGTTGGGATGTGTCGTGGTAAAAAAGTATTCAACTATTCACCCTAGTTAAATAAACAGAGATTGATGGATTTCACTCTGTCGGCACATTTATTCATATCTTTGCAAGGAGAGAACAGTTCATCATACAGTCCTTATGGCACAGCATTCTGACCTGCTCTGTTCTGGGCAGCGTTCGTTCCTCCTTACTTACAACTTGGGGGCGACAGTGGCGTTGGATGTAGGAGTTTGCCCTGAAATCGAAGGATTGACGGTTCAAGCCCCGACTCCAACTTTCTGTGTCGTTTTGTCTTTGGGCAAGACACTTCCCCTGCATTGTCTACTGATGGTGGTCAGAGGGTAGCGACAGTGTACGGCAGCCCCGCT